ACACTTAATACTTTTGCTGCATTAACACTTATTATGTTGTGATTTCACTGGCTTAAAACGTTTTTTGCAATCCATGGCAAAGCAACTTAGAAGTAAATATTTAACAGCGACGATTCGCATATTCTGCTTTTAATCTCAGTAATTTGCACAACTAACTGAAATACAAGCATATTTAATGCGATATCACCAATTAGACAACCAGCGGCGGACTACTTTGCATATCTTAGTGCAGCACCAGGAGAGCCACGACTTATAGTCGACCACCTCCGATAGGCTGGGAGTGGAATAGAAGTGTTGATTGAATTGGAAATAAGTAAATACACAAATATGTGTTATGTGAGGATACACTTGAAAAATTAGTATCACATTAAGTTCGGTTTCCAAGCTCTGAATAACACAGGCCGACAAAATTTTATTAAATTTTGTAACTACGAAGAGGACTATACAAGGCTTTTGAAGTGGTGAATCTGAATCTGGATTCAAAATAGTTCCAGTTTTCGAGATATTCTACATTTGAGGTCTTACCACATCTAGAAAAACATTTTAAATTTTGAAATTTTCTTTTTTTTAATTTTGCCTCTAAGTAATTGTATATTGAATTCAGTGAGCTTGTCAAATTCGGTAATTTTCAGAAATTGAGTAGAACTAAATAGGATTTTAGAAATAATGAGGAAAATTGAGTATTCATGAGAGTTTTGGTGTTCCTGGCAGGAAATCCGATGAAAAACAGTTACATTGGCAGATCTAATTTTTAAGATTTAAGAGATTTTTTAAAACTTTGTTGGGATTTGTCCAAAACTTTTTCCTCGGGGGTTTTTGGAGCTGTCAAAACATCAGCTGGCAGAGTTTTACACGTATGTATATAACTACTGGGATTACAAATGATTAATGAAACTTCTTTTTGAGCAACCTATGTAATGCTTAGTTGGTTGGATCAATGGAGAGTAAGATAGAAAATGACCGCTAGCGGCTGTACCTAAGCCATTTGGCTCTTCCCCGCTTATACCAACTAGGCGTTGGCGAATATTTCAAATGATTTAATAAACTATTTTGATTTCTTCCAATCAAGTGTTGCTGGAGTTGGGAGCCTAACAAGATACTAGTAAGCTCAATTAAATTTATTTACCCCAATTTTGTGAAAAAGAGCTTCCACTCATGGCTATCAAACAAAAGCTTTATATCTTTTATGTCACATTAAGATTGCACTATTTTCCTATTTCCTGGAAACGGTCGGAGATAATTATGATTTCTTAATCAGGTAGAGATCCAACTTTGGCAGACTCCTAACTTAATTGAGATTTTCCCAAAAAAAAAACTTTTATTGAATAAAAATACAATCGAAACAGGTCAGGCCATCAATTCGACACTAGGAGGTGCATAGTATAGTAGCACACGTCTTTTTTGATGTTTCTGAGGCATTACACTAGTTACACTACTCAATCCTATGAAATATTTGCTGATGTTCCACAAGAAAGTGTTTTATACTCCGCCCTATATTTAATTTATACAACCGATCTTCCCACAAAACCGAAACACATTTCAAATTTTGTGGATGATACGACAATGCTTAGTGTGCATTCGAGCCCCGTTGCGATCACTTAAAAATTACAACAACATTTATAAATAATAGAAGTATGGCTAACTAATTGGAGAATTAAAGTCAATATACATGTTTTTCAAGCTCTGTAAATGGCAATACAATACCATAAAATTTACTTACTTGTGAGTAACATTGGATTAGAGACACATCTGGGAACTCAACATAGAAAAGAGATTACCCCACCTAAATTGAAAATTACGATTTTGGATTGGATTATAAGTTTAAGCCCTAACTAAGTTTAGAAAACCCAGTGTTATTTTTTAATAAGCCTCTGGCACGCACATAATCCAACTTTGCAGGTAAGCATTTCAATCTAGTATAGATAGAATTCAAAGGCTATAGTCAAAGACCTTGAGAGAATATGGTGGACTCTTTGGTATGCAAAAACAATTTCCAAATTCATGACGATCTCGAGATTAACACCGTAACAGCGAAGGCAGAAAAACTGCGTAAAACTTACTTATTAGGGTTATCTAACTCTTACAACACAACTACCCCAAGCGATTAAAGAGAAAGGTTTGAACTCTGATTAAGGGCTCTGCCGCATTTAATTTTATTCTTTGTCTTCTTTACTGACACCAGTTAAACCATATAGCCGAATTTACAACATTGGGCCATCCATTCATTTCTTTTTTTTCGCTTTTTCGCCAATCGAAGATTCCAAGTTCAGCCAGGTTCTACTCAACCTGGTCTTTCCAAAGGAGTGGAGGTCTTCCCCTTCCTCTGCTTCCATCTGGACCACATGATCTAACCAGCGCAGCCGCTTCTCTTGATTCGTTGAACTATGTCAATTTCATAGAGCTCACCATTCCGTCGACTGTGGTATTCGCCGTTCCCAACTCGTAAGACCATAAGTCTTACGAGAAACCTTTCTCTCGAAAACTCCGACCGCTGGCTCATCAGATGTTTCCATCGTTCATTTCTCCGCACAGTATAGCAGGACGGGAACGATGAACGACTTGTAGAATATGGTTTTCCTTCGTTGAGAGAGGACTTTACTTTTCAACTGCCTACTCAACCCAAACCTGTTGACAAGAGTGATTTTGCGCTGGATTCCCACGCTGATATGTGTGTTAGTATTTATGCTGGTTACAAGATAGACGAAGTTATCTTCGAAGTTTTGATTATCAACAGCGACCTGGGAGCCGAGTCGCGAATGCGATGACTGTTTGTTTGATGACAGGATATATAATATTTCGTCTTGCCCTCGTTCACTACCAAACCCATTCGCTTCGCTTTTTTTCAAGTCTGGAGAAAACAGAACTTAGAGTTTAGTTTTAATGCATTACAGTTACAAGTATTCATTATATTTTAATTTCCTTTATGATATCTTTTTTTTTTGAGATTCTCTTCATATTCTTATGCCTGTTTTAAGCGATTCAGTAATATGTTAAATATAAAGAACTGTTTATTTACCAAAAATATTAAAGAAATGATTCACTTAATTTAATTTCTTTTGTTTAAAGTGAATTAACTACAATTTTTTCCTTAGGAATATCGATTAATCTCTTTGTTTTGAGTTACCATCAAAATTCTATGGTTGTACAATATAAAGTAGTAGCAAATATTTTTGAAAGTGCATATATCCATTGAAAACTGCATACATAAACGAATGAAATACGCTTTTACTCTATTTATTTTAACCAAGAGAATTGGAATATTTATCCTTCACACCTGCTAAGTTTCTCTATCCTTTCCTCACAATGGAAAAAATTTATTTTTATATGTCACCTGCTCATAAATGGAACACCCACTCAGCCATTGACCAACAGATTAACAATATAATAAATTAAAAGAACGTCATCTACTCATACTCTCTTCTGGACACCATTGCGACCAATTTGCATTCATTTTCCTCCGTTCCGCAAACATCTCTATATAAATACGTGATTGCAAGGAATGTTTGTATGTACCTCTGCAGTGTTGCCAGTGTCCTAACGGACAGCTTCTCTTTCCTGTTAAGTACTTACTATCTACGTGTAGGTATGTGTTTGAATGCTGTGGTAGATTTAGCTATTGATTGAACGATAAATTCGATAAAATGAAAAACTGCATTATGAAGGGGAACACTTGTGTTACGAATAAGCCTGCAGTGTCTTGCTTCTGGATATGCGGTTATAGTCGCAGGACTATACTCAATTCCTATTATTGCGTCCATAACGAGCACCCAAAAAATGTGGATCTTTTTATTATGGCTAAAAGCAATTTGTCACGGGTAAAAGAGTCTTGAAACAGATGTCTCGCTATATAAATCTGTTTCGAATTTACAATCTCTCACCTGCCACTTAAAAGCCTACTCCAATGAAAACTATTGTTTGAGAGCAGGCACCAGTAAAGTCCGGTCCTTTATTTAAATAGGTTGCGTTGTACATCTGGTTGACGGAAATGAGTATGTTCTTTTGATTCATATCACTGCGCCATATAGAAAGACAAGGAAGTTTCAACATCTGCAATCACAATAGACTCCCTGATGGTTTTCTATTTGACTATTGCTGTCGACTGCAACGTATTCTGTGTGGAGACATATATTGAAATTAGTGAGTACGAAGCGCTTGAGAAGTTGGCAGACAGGAGTGAATGTTTGAAAGTTGTATGAGAAATCGCGGCGATCTATAGAAAGTTTCTGCACCAACTATCTCTGGAGAAAGCAATTTATAAAGTTTAAAGAGTGTATTGTGTGTCAAATTAAACTCCATCGTAAGTGAACAATGTGGCTCTAGACCTGGTAAATCCATCATTGAAAAACTAAGCAACCAACCTTCGTTAGCACGGAAAGTAGCTACCTTTAAGCTGCTATCTAAATTTGTTACCAAGCTACGGTATACATCTTGAAGTTTTTCCAAAAATTGAAGAACTTATAGTTTATTTTAAGTCGCCTCTGAAGGGGGGATGGATTTTTATGAAAACTATTTTTTATTTCATGTCAGAAATACATGCGGAGGACTTGACATTCCCTGGCGAAGGACGACCGGAATGAGAAAAATTAATTTCCAGTAAATTTGATTATAGGTTTTAGGACTAGGGGTCGGAGCCTGGACTTTAGAATGGCTAAACATTCGGTTATTGCGGCCGCCTTTAAAGTATGTATACTGAATATTGTAATTTAGCAGACGCGCAATATAAAGTCGGTAATCTACCTCTCCGACTTCTCCGGGCTTGACATCGCTTATATTCAAAACTGTAGTGTTTTTACATACGAGCTTATGCCTAAAAATATTTAAAGACGTTTAAGTATTAAGTGCTTTGTACTACAAACTTTACTTCAAATTTTGGTATCAAAACTTGATTTTCGATTTAAAAATCAATTAACTTTATACTCAATAAACATGCAGGTTAAATTTAAAAATCCATTTTTTCAATGGCTTTATAGTATATATGCTTAAGCATTGAAGACACTCACCTGTTGGGTACAATTTTGACACGTTCATCAGCCGATTCCCATGAAGTGATTTTGATAGGCCATGCTATTTGTCCGAAACTTTCCTTAACAAATGCTTCCCAGGGCGAGTATGCTGTTGGTATTGTTGTTGTACTACTTTTAACTTCACCACTGCTGCAATTAGTCACGATATTGTCTATCGTTAGCAAACGTTCGGATCGTTGTAAGCGACCTTTTTTCTTATCCATCGGTGTGGTCAATGCATGCATCAGCGGCTGCAGTGGCGTCTTAGCGGGCAGTAATGATGATGGTGGGAAATCAAGCGGGCTTAATGCTTTCTGTATTTTCTGTGTTAACGGCGTGGTGTGGGGAATGAGCTTCGTATTCAATTGAGACACTGTAGTATTTGCTTCATTTGATGTTGTGCACTGGCTTTTGTGTTCGACACGTTCCATTTTTAGTAGCTTTATTATTTATTCATCATTCTCTGCAAAATGCTTTTGTGTCACTATTTTTAAATTTTACATATAATTTTAAAATAAATATGGCTTCCATTTCATGGTAAATGTTTCCTTTGTTGATACTACGTATTATATATACATATGTATGTATATATTTTACATCTTAATCTCTGTGCGATTTATTTGAAGATACTGAAAGAATAAGCATAAAATAAAAGTAAATGTAAATATCTTTATATAGGTGAGTACAAATGTATGTATGTATAATAATTAATGTTTGTTTGTTAGTGACGCTAAGGCTCAACGTCGAGTAGGCCAATCTTGATGAAATTTTCAGACATTGCTCATAGTAGATCCTGGAAGGTTTAGAGTTAAAAATAACCTTATACTTTTCCTGAGGAAAAATGGAAAAATTTGAAAATTCCAAACAGTGACTTTTTTCTTCGCAATTTTTTTGTATATTTAATTTTTCTTCAAGTCTATCTTTCTTTTATATTTGTTTCACCTATCTGATTTGTTTATTCGAACAGTTTTCGTTTGTTGGTGAATATACCTAACCTCGTTTCAATTGAAATTTATTTTCTTTACTTCTTGAGCTGATTGTAAATTATTATATTATTGAAAATTAATCAATAAAAATTGCATATGTGTTTCAATTACAGATTGAAATTTGTTACGATGCCGCGAAGAGGTCGCGCTACTAAAGATGGAACCCGACTGATTTTGATTCAGCTATAGAATAATGTGATAGTTCCAAGAATTTTGAAAGGGACTCACTAGAAGGGAGAATATTTGGTTCCACGGATTCTTTTGAGTACCCACGATTTGCTATTTCTTAACGACAGTCGCTGGAAGTGTGTGGCATAAATCTGGAAATGCCAAGCCTTTCACACGGCCAGCTATACGTGGCGTGTTCACGAATTGGAAAACCATATTCTCTGTACATTTATACACCGGAACCGAAAATAAAAAATCTTGTTTATCAAGAAAAAAGGTAGAAAAATCGTAAATATTATGGACCGCCTGATTTGAAGTCGGCTGATGATGAAATATAATGAGATTCCGAGATTTTGGACCAATATAAGGAAATATAATTTTTGCTAGAAATGGCTTTAGCTCTCTCTGTATGTTGCGATGATATTTTGTACCAAAAAAGGTAATTAAGTAGTAAAATACCCTATCTTCGAAAAACTTTTTGTTATGAAGGCGAAAACGCAAGTCAGATCTTAAAAAAAAATCTTTTTTATTTGCTTTAATCTTATTTTAATCATATATAGAATCCTGTAATTCGACTCATTTAATTTCGTGTATTAAGGCAGTTTTTTTAGAATCCGAAAAAAAATTTTTGTCAGCAATTTTTTTGAAAGTTTTTAATTTTCCCACAATAATGTATTGTATTTAAGCTTCAAAAAAATTTCAAGTGTAAGCTAATATTGGAAGCTTCTAACGTTCTGATAAGTTTTTTGAAGAGGCTGCATTCGCAAAAACGTGCCGGTGATGGAGGTCGACGATGCAATCACAGTCGAACAAAATTTTCTTGAGTGTCTCTTTTTTAAGAACTAGAAAAAGTATCGGAGAAGTTGGAAAACTCGAAGTTTAAAAAAAAAGTTCACTCATTTGAAAAACAAAATTCACTTCAAGTTCCAAAAAAAAAAAAATAGTTAAATAATGCTTTTCTTCAAATTCAAATTTTAGTTCAAATAGAATAGGAGTTTATTTATTAATGCTTATTAAAAAAATATTTTTTGCTTTTCAATTTTTCTGCGGTTTAATTTTTCTTAAAAGCTTTTATTTTATTATTTTTTATGACCCTAAGCATTGACAGGCCTATGTGTAGAAGCTCACGCAAGTAAGGAGGTGCCTCTGGCCAGCTAGTTGATGTCTTATTAAAATTGTATTCTGACTTCACCGCCGTCCAAGAAATGCAATGGACTGGACAACGATGGAAGAAGGCGAATCTTTGTGACATTTACTGCAGCGGTCATATAAAGGAGTGCAAATTTGGTTCGGAGACTCGGTCGGCAAGAAGTGGCATTTACATCGATGGATGAAAGTCTCACCGCAATTCGTATCTAAACTAAATTTTTAAACACAACGAAATATCTTCTGTCAACAAACAAACAGTCATCGCATTCGCGACTTTGCTCCCACGTCACTGCTGATAGCATTAACTTCGAGGTAGTAGATAATTTCGTGTATATCGGGATCAGAACCAACACCAATAATAATGTGAAATTTAATGCAGAATCACTCTTGCGAAAAGATGCTACTTTGGACTGAGTAGGAAATTGAAAAGTAAAGTCCTCTCTCGGCTAACAATAACCAAACTGTACAAGTCGCTCATCATACCCGTCCTGCTATAATGGTGAGAATGCATGGACGATGACGACATCTGATTTTATGGACCTTTGCGCATTGGCAACGGCGAATACCGTAGACGATGGAACGATGAGCTGTACGAGATATACAACGAAATTGACACAGTTCAGCGAATCAAGATACAGCGGCTGTGCTAGCTAGGACATGTGGCCTGGTCGGATAATAATATTCCATCATTAAAAGTTTTCGATGTGGCGACAGCCTGAGAAAAAAAGAAAAGATCGGGCTGAGAAGGACAGGGCTGTACTCAGAATTTCCCATTGGCGCCAAACAGCGAAAGGAAGCACTGAATGGCGCGTTGTTGTTAACTCAGCTATAATCGCGTATACGGTGTCTACGTCCGTAAAGAAGAAGACGATTTACTAATTCCTAAGCATAATTTTTTAAAGTTTTATTATGATTACTTGAATTCCTACCCACATACTTTTATTTGGGACCTATGTATATGTATTGTCGGAAAATTTGATTGGATTCAGTAATAGGACAGGCCGGGTACAGAATTTTTAGGCTATGTGAGGTGTGTATTCATTGGTCATCCAACCGAGGTGCCATTTAATAAAACATCTTAAGTTACTGTATTACTTTATAGAAAATTGCTTGCCCAGCAAATTACCACTTATCACAGAATAACTCATATACTATGAGGACATCAGTAAAATTATATCACAACGAAAATTAATACTATATAAAATCATGGTTTAAAAGCCGGCATATCTTAATTCCGATACTCGTTACGTTCCGGCATAGTTATAATGGCAAACAATGCAGTTCGTTCGATTTCCACCGAAAAAGTTATTTGATGATAAAATCTATGTCGGCAACACAAATAAAATAAATATCTTAAGAACATGAAAACCGAATAATATGTCAATCAATTTTTTTTAATTATGTTTAAACAAATTTTAAAATTTTTGTCAATCTTTGTGATTAAGTTTAAACAAAATTTTTCCTGAAGGAATGCCAGATGACAATTATGGCCGTTCTTCAAAATATTATATGATATTTCAAGCTCAAACCCTGAATTTTTATTGGGTGCCCCAAAATTAACTGGCGATTTTTCAAAAGAAAGCAAATAAGTTTTTTTAATTTTATAATGAACTTTAATCATAATTTTAATTTTATGTAATTTCATATTTATGGATGACCTTTTGCCTTATTTCCGGCAACATCGTTATTCCTGCTTCTAACCTTTGCAAAAAACTAAACCAAGGGCGATTTTATAGCCTCATCATTTTCGAAAGTTTTATCATTCAGTGAGTTCTGTAAAGACTAAAACAAATGGTAGTCTGACGGTGCAAGGTCAGGGGTATATGTCTATATGGTGGATGCAACAAAAGTTCACAGCCAAACTCTCTCAGTTTTTGGTGAGTGAGAAAATATGTTGCGGTTTAGCTTTGTCCTGGTGCTGGCGGAATTGACCAATTCCGGCCGCTTATCATTGATGGATGGATTCAATTTGTCCAGTTGTTCTCAGTAGACATCCGAATTAATCATTTGGTTCTTAGAAAGCAGCTGAAAATATACCGAATCCTTCTATTCACAATGTTTGCACCGTTATCGTTTTCGATTGATACTATTGTAAACAATCCATTTTTCATCTCCAGTTGTGATTTAGTACAAAAACATATTCATTGAGTTTAAAATGCATATGGCAAGCATTGAAGCGGCTTTGTAAAATGAATTTCCTTCATTTCATGTGGTACCCAAATATTGAATATTATTATTATGAACGATTGCTTTTGGTATACTTAACTTCCCTCCAATCTCACGCTCAGCTACATGACATCAACTTCACTTGGCCGACCTGAACGTGGTTCATCATTGAGTGAAAAATCTCCTGAACGGAATTTGACAAACCAACCTCGAAACTGTGGGCGTTACCATATAAATCAAGCAGTTTTTTAGTAACTTGCACTGCATTTTTCCCTTTAAGAATATTAAAATTGACGCCAAACAATCAAATATAAACAAAATTGCGCGTACTTTTTTTCTAAAGCAGCTTTTAACTGTCAGAAGAAGAAATACAGTTGAATAGTCACAAACTATTCAAAAAAAGTGTCAACGTCGTCTGTACGAAAAATCGCCAGGTTCTTTTCGGGCAACGCAATATTAATAAATGCCACACTCACACAGAGTATAACCAATAGTTCTCCTAAAGATGTTTTTAACATTTGGCAATTATGTTACATTTTTTATTTGCTTCCTTAATTTGTTAGAGTCATTTTCGAATACTGGAAATGCAAATGTACAAAAAATTAAAGGGCAGTAGAGCTCACAATCTGAATTTTAATTTCTTGCAAAAGAGAGGTTTGAACATTTTTTTATCATAGTTATACAAAAAGATGAGGTTATTTGCTTACCTACATACATATAAGAGCCTGCATGACTATAAATATACAAATTCCCTGCGCATTCTCGACTGAACTGAACTTAAACCACCTCAAATCATAAGTTTCTATGAAAAATAATGTTCGATTCTACTTCTACACGACAGAACTCGTTAGTATCAAGACATGAGTTGGTCCACTACCTTAGTATAGCATAATCAAGTAAACAATAAAAGTAACGTAATTTGAAATTAATTTAAACTTTTAGAAAAAAAAAATATATTCAGTTTTTAAAGTTTGATTTATGTCAACACAAATTGGAAAAATAACTTGATAAGTCCTTTGCAATTTTCGACATGCAAAGCTTTAAACGCATTGATAAGCTTTGCTAACGATAGTCAAGTTATTAAAAACTAATTTTTAAAATAGGAACGATTGTGTATAATAATAATCTTTTAATGCAGATCACAAAAACAGTTAAATAACTTTATTCAAAATTTAGAGGTCAAACACATATTGGTAAAATATAGTAACACTCAAAAGCAAATGAAAGTCACATTTAAAAAAAGGATTCCCATAAGGAAGAGAGAGAGTATCCCTTAATATATCCACCTAAAAAAAAGCTGGTACATATATATATATATATATATATATATATATATTTATTTTGGACACCTGAAATTGTTATTATTTTCGGCGCTCGAAAGTTATAATGTAGATCATTTTCATGGATTTATGCCTCCGAAATTAGTCCAGATTATTAATTGAAACAATTACTTGAGGAATCCGTATATACGTGCATAATATAAATATTCACTTTTGTAAAACTTACAGATGAAATGTTATTCACGTACGCAGATTACGCACATATACTATATATTTATGTACATAGAGCACTTGGTATATTGTATACTGAACGCAAAGTTGTTTCTACATATATTAAAAGTTTATTATGTTTATTGTTATTAATTTTTTGATGTACAGAATATCGCAATATTTCAGCACTCGCTTAGCATTTAAACATTCACTTATGTAAGTTAAATATGTTTTAATTTTTTTGAATACTTGAGACACCAAACTACAGTTTAATAATCTGTTAATTTTACAAATTCTTCACCCACCAAAACGTGAAAAAATTGAATCAAATAAGGTATTTAATTCTCAAAAAGGAGAATCGGAAACACGCAGAAAAACAGTGTGTATTATAGACACATGTCAATATATAAATTATTTTCCGCTTTTCTCTCCCGTGGTGACATTGAAAACAGCATCAGTAGATATTTCGCGAATTGCGGCCATGGCGTACGGAGATTCAGACGCAACTATGCAATGAGAATTTTTGGTAAAAGATTTGTAAATACTTTTTTCTGCTCACCGCTTACTCATCTCATGTAGCGAATAGAAAAAAATTAACATTAACATACGCACAAACGCACAAACGCAGGCGTAAAATTACTTTCAATATGTACTTGAATAAGCATTTCGACTAACTTCGAAAAAGCTCATCACTACACGTTTTATCCTATTAATTTGAGAGCGTTCACTTTGCGAACGAAGCATCCGTGTTACAGTTCGTGTGAGAGAAAGCATATGGTTGAGGCCAGACAAACCGTAGCTGTTCAAGGTCATTTCAGACTTTGGTTAGCCTTGAGTTGAAGCTGAGCGACATTGCGACGAGGCCACATGCTCGACTCCATTAGTTCGTGTGTCGATTGTGCTTTGTTTGGGGAGGAAAACAACTGTTGCAAACGTGTTGATATTACCGCATTGCAGCAAGCCTGGCCAATGTAGGTATGTATGCATATGTATTGAACTTTTGTTATCCTCGCAATGACAACGACCTCAAGCAAAATATTAGGCTAGTAAAAAGTAGTCCATTATATTTGTTTTAAGATTAAGGCTTATTTGCTATAATAAGAATTATACGATTTATGTCAAATATGTACCATTTTCCTCGATAAATTTTTGCCATTTTGATTATTGGAAAAGAATCGATTTTTACAGGTTCTACTTGAGGCCAATTTTTCACCTGCCAAATCATTCGCCCAGACTAATAAGAGGATGGATAAGAACGTCTCCACCAAGCACTCGGAGCTCCTGGCGAATCACTATAGAGTCATTAAAGTAAGCTATAGATGACTCCAAAGCTTTTTCTAACATAATCTCTGGTGGGTTATTACTATAGGATTTTCCAATGGGAGATGTTTTTTGATATTCAAAGAAATTTTTCTCTTAAAAGATCAATCAAATAACGAAAGTATGGCACGTAGGTGTCCAGATCAATACCATCCAATATCGGGCATATCTTCATCTTTCCTCGATAGCCCAATCGACTAATTTTTGAAAAAGTAAGGTCAAATGACCCCGCCGGACGATAAATAACACCAAGTAGTAACACGTAGAGGATGGAAAAGCTTTTCCTCAATCTTGTGTTTTACGGGCCCCAAATACGACAGTTTTGATTATTGTCATAGCCATCGAGGTGGAAATGGACCTCATCAGTCAAGATGATTTTTCGATGACATATTTTTATTTTTATCACTGGCGTAGTAATTACAGCTTCAAAAGTGACTTCTACCGGAAAACCCATTATTTTCAGTTAAGCTTACAAATGCCGCAAATATACAAAATAAATGCCATGATTTATTTTTAATTTAAGGTTTAGCCCAACTTTTCTTTGGAACTGAGGCCGCATAACTAAAGAGTTGAACAGATATATATATTTGGCGGTCGATGTAGCTAGATCCCTGTTAATAATAGTAAATCATATGTAGCAGTGTTGCTTCGAACGACCAGAAGAAAGACATAAACTTGAATTTTAAAGACCTGGTGTATTGGCTTTCCTTCTGTGCCCTGTCAACGCTTAGCTTTTCTCAAATGTCAAGATGTTCTGATTATTATTATTATTACGTTATTTTGAAAATTGCTACTGTCACCTGCGTATATTTTGGATTTTGGTATGCCACCATTTATTTTTCAACAGTAATTAGTCTGCACATGTCAATACTCTAAGTAATGTCAGTGAGGAGAGGTAACCAGTGTTAGTTTCAGTGCGTATTTCGTTTAGCCGAAAAGGTGGTAAGGGTCATTTTATAAAGAAATAAAGAGATAAGTTTTAATTTTTTTTTGTATAAATATTAAATTTGACATTGCATGGATTTATTGGAATCATATGAATTATTAAGTTTTATTTTTTATACCCTTTAAGGTCCTGCCGAAAGGACAATATTTGTAAAATGAAGAGAGAGAGATAGCGGCACATGGAGAAAACGGCTTGTGTAATGTGCAGATTTATTCAAAAATTCACAGATCTGAGAAAGTTAGTAGAAATTATTTGAAATTGGGCAAGAATTATAGCAAGAAGAAAAAAACTAAAGGCCAAAGAGCTGAAATTGTCAAAATGACAGTCTTCTAGAAATCGGATTAATTCTGCCTCCAACATGTCTCTGTGGACTTTTTTCATTTTCCAGTGTATCTGTCTACTAATTTTGTTGAAATATCTCAAAACTCAAGGACTACTTTGCTTACAAACAGACAGACATCAAATCAACTCAACTAGTTATTTTCATCCGATCCGTATAAGTTATAATGGATCTATTTCTCCTCCTTCTGGCACTTATATATTTCGAAATTTAAATTTAATGTAAAAGCTTGTCTGCTTGAGAGGTGTAAAAATTAATTTTTACAGAAATCAAATCTGTGACCCACCGCACGGTAGTGAGCGGCAAATCGTAAATAAATAATAATAATAATAAATAATATTAATAAATAAATTTTTTAGTGAAATAATTTGTTGTTCCGAAAGCTTGAGGGCGCTTACATACATTTGAGTTCGTACAGCAGTCGCAAGTTGAATTACGTAGGGACAATACCAGAGAGCGTTAACGCATACATATATACTCGTGTGTCACGTACATACATTTTGTACACGCTTCGTATAGAACATATCCATGTTGGCATTTTTCCGAGTGTCTTGCTGTCTGCATCATATACAAGGCAAAAGTTTATTTTGCGTTTATAACATCATAATGATGTGCTCAGAATACCGACTTAAATTCCTTCAAATATATCAAAAAAAAAATTAACAAAAATTTGGTAGACTTTTTTTTCTATAAGTCCATTTAATTCTTTCCTTTCCAAAACTTCAAACCTACATATACATATCTCTCTCTATCATTTTTAAATATATAATTGGCGCCTTGTAACTGCCGAAGCGATTTTCGGCCGAGCTTCTCATTTAATTTGTGGTTTTGCCTTTTGCTGTTTTTCCAACAAATAGAGGGACATAAAGTTCACACTAGGCCGCCTCCGAACAACTGATTTTTTTTTATGAGGAGCATTTTTTTCATATCGTAAATACACTCAGAGGGCCTGCTGAGGGGCGACCGACATTAGAAAATTTAATTAAGTTTTTTTTTTTATTTAAATTGAATTTCCATAATTTTTGGATTTTGGTCGGTTCAGGACTCGAAGCCTGGACTTCCGAATGGCAGTACACAATTTTAATGCACGTCTGTCACGACTGTGGCCTTATCATTCCGTTGAACCAATTCTCAGCCCAAGCCGCTGGTTAGACTAACGACATCACTTCCGCGTAAGTGTAAGTTCAGACTCCTGTGTAATGTGTAATCGAATGTGATTATCATATCAACCGTTATGACAAACATATGTTCCATGCACTTTTATGAAGAAAAAACTCAATGTCAGTGATTAATGTGATTATATACCAGCGTTTATCAATCTTTACTATTAATCTCCTTTTCACACAAACAGTATTTATGAAAAAAAGCTTTTGCTACTTCTAATCTTACAAAGGATATACAATTTTTATGAAAAGCTCGCGTGATTAAATTTCCAGTTTTCGTATTTTGGTATCACTCTATAACGATTTGTCCCCTCATCCGTCAATAATTCTAGAAATTTCGCATAATTTTGTAGTATGCGGGATTGAGACTGAGTGCAAGGGGATTGACAGATATTTGTGATTTCGCTACTTACCACATTATGCAGTTTAAATTAATACGAAAAGAATTTCGTTAGTAAAATTGTGTTTTTTATTTCAATATTAGTTTTGCTGTTTAGAAAATGTGATTTTGTAAGCAAAAATATATTTGTATGTATATATTCATTAATATACTAATTCACTTTATCGGAAGCATGAATTCGTACAATATAACTAATTTTAGGCTTTATTATAATTTTATACAATACATTTGTTTACTTTTAAATACACACTTTTTAACATATAAGAAAAAAGGTTTTAAACGTTTAAAGTTTTCATAAAATACTTGCAGATAATGGTCGAGAAATTCGAGCTTAAGCATAGATTGTTTCGCGGCCAGTTCTTGCGAGCGCATAAAATCTTAATTACTTTATTGATCATCTTGCTGGAGTATTTAAGTATTTTTGCTGTTTTGTAGAGAAGCAGTTAGTACATACATATGTACGAGTAAATGATTGAAATAAGCTGCTATTACTATTTAGCTACATATATTTGTGTCTTTGTTTGTGCGCTTGTTTGTTTCGAGTTTGAATTCAGTTAGTATTAAGCAGATTGCAGCGAAGTCCCACCACCTCTATACTTTTGAGTTAATTTATACTACTTGCTAAAAAATTTAATTGTTTAAGCATTTAAGTTAATATCATTCAAACTTTTCCAGCTTTTTCACACATATTTGTATGTAGGTTTGTTTAACTTAGCTTAAAGATACAATTTTCCCTTTTGCTATTTACAAAATAAAAAAATAATCAGTACAAAGCGTACTAATGAGTTTCAAATAACGAGTTTATATTTCCTATGAAGAGTGCGTGAAAAAAATGAAAAAGTTTGAATCTGAAGGGTATTCGATCTTTTTTTTTAAACGAAATGTGTATGCGTAAGCCGCAATACATGGCAATTCATGTTAAAGATTAATTTTATTTTCTTGAATTGTTTTCGAATATCTATAAATATTTAGTCATCAAATTGATTAATAATGTACACATGTTTTTTGGGTACCAAGAAACTTGGTTTTGTAGAAGAATGAAGTCCTACGATATCTCACATATCGGTATTATAGCTATTAAACCTTCAAAACCCAATTTTATATATTAAGATAAATATTTCTCATATAACTAATTTTCTGTTCCGTAAATCTTTCTATTGCGTTTTTGAATAAAAAAACAGTTTTATTCCAAATAAATTTAGTCTTTCAAACTTTCTGTTGCTAAAGGACTTTTTAGGGAAATGAACGTCTTCTCTCTTCCCTCATATTAACATGTCTCTCGACTAGTATTCCGCATAACTCGTACACATATTGTATTATCGTTTAACAATGGTCCACTGAACTCTCTGCAATCTGCGAGAGCACATAGTCAGAGTATAACACATACATATATACATCACTACATCAATGTGTGCGTAAGAAAATTAACATAAAATTGCTCTTCCTCCTTTAGTTGGGCTTACACATTCAGTTCCGTTCAAATATTATTTCTATTTTACATATACATATATATTTATATATAAGAGTAGAAATGTTAATATTATGAGTATATATGTAGCGTGTGCATGCATAAGCACAGTTAAATTATTTATTAATTACGAACGTGCTGAACGCAAGAGGATATTTTCTTATTGGCACTTTTGTTGTATATTCTCTTTTTCTTTTGTTATTTTTACTAAATTGATCTTAATTTGGACTTAAAGTCACAATACTTAATTGTTTCATTATACATATATGTATGTATTGTTAAAAGTCAACTTTACATACATACATACATAAGAATTTACTTTTAAAATAATACAAAATCAAAGCACACCTGCATGCCACACAGTTTCATACATACATATGTATGTAGGTGTGAATTTACATATGTACATAAACATCTTTACGAATTGTTGTAGTTGGCAATCGATTGATTTGTTCTTAAAACATTATTGCAACACCTTAACATATTTCAATCATGATGGTCCTTAATATATGTACATACGCATGGATGTACGTATGTATGTTAGCTGTGCAAAACATCACATTTACCAGTCACCAGAACGCGTTGCTTCATTCTCAGTATGGAAGGTTGTGCTGCGGCGTGATTCCACATATTGACTCTGTGTCTGCGCCACAATTTGACCGGAGCGTGGTGGAGGTGGCGGAGCCGGTATACGCGGTTGGAAGGTTGCCTACAATAGAAGAGTAGAAATAACAGTCACAAAATCAAACTTACAAAATACAGTTATGTTTGGAACAGTGAATTTACGAATCAGCAAATAATTTGATAGTTCTTTATAAAGACAGTCTAATCTAATCTTTAAAATAGTGTTAACAACCCTGCTGGGAATATTACTAGTTCGTAACTAATTAGTTTGCATCTTCATCTCCCATACTTCGCCAATGTTGATCGTGATATGCTCAAACGCAACACAACACACCAGTGATGAAAATTAGTATTGGTTCCGTAGTAATTCGTAGTGAACCAGAATTTTTGCGTATGGATTATACATTTCCCTGCAGGGATTGTAAGCCACTTGACCATTATATGCTTTCATGTTAAACACGATCTCTGATCTCTGCTCTGATCTCTACTTCAATTTGGATGTTAATAAAGGATTTGAATGAAAATTGTGAATATGTTTCAGAAGATTACTATAAATTAATTCATAAAACAGTTGTTGATCATTTGACAATACCAGATCAACGAATTATTCAATATTTTCCGGAATGAGATGTAAAAAAAATTAATTTGTAGTAAGTGAGACGAGTGAGATTTTATTTCAAAATATTAAGAAAAATCTATTTATTACGATTTTCTACAGATTGAGAATCACTGAGTTGGTTAGTTGTTGTGGTTACTTAATTGCGATTTCAGTCAGACCTTCTGGTCTGTTATGAGGCTAATGTTGGGCCTCAGGAAAAGATCTTTACACTTTGAACATCTAAACCATTTATTTTATTTTATAAAACTGAAAAGCAGTTAAAATATAAATTTACTAGGGAGCGAGGCGGGCGGAAATTTGTTTTTTTCAAAATAAAAAGTAATCAGTATATCTGAAATTCCATATTCATTAAACTTTCTTTCTTTCTGGCGTGATGATATAAATGGATTAATAAAAAGTCGGTTGTGTGCGGAGCATAGCATACGAGCATAAGGTTTGAATTGAAAATTCAATGAGTTTGATACGTAAATTCTTCTTGATATTTGTTATCATAATGAAATCTTTAGCTTATTACCATTCGTTGCGATCGGCGAGATCTAGGCGTAGCTTCCGGCGAAGAAATCTCATCTGGTGCTGCCCAGTGTTCCGTGAATTCACTGGCCGAACGTGCTAGCGATGGGTGACTAACAGACCGATGGAATGAGCGTCTATCCTCGTCGTCGTAATAATGCATTGGATAGAATGAACTTGCATCGGAAATATTGTCTAAGTGATCGGGTCTTCCGAAATCCACTGTCACTTCTGACATAGAACGGAAATCATTATGATCGGTGTGATATGAGGTTCGTGATGAACGTCGTGAACGATTCATATTAAAGTTACTGTCTCGCAGTGGCATACTTGGATCTTGGCGTATGGTACGGACAGATGATCCACCATCACTGTCATATTCGTACAAAGTTGGCAAGGAGCTGCGTCTTGAACGTGTATCCCAGGGTTGAGTTTTCTTTGTTCTCTTAGGTGCACGCATTTCGACATCGGACTCATCATCTGGTGGTGGCGCCAGTATGCGTATGATTACATCCCAAGTTTGCGGCTCGAAGATACGCTCATAACGTGTATCTTGACGAATACGTTCGAAGTCTTCCCGTACTACTGCTTCAGTGAGCATTGTACGCAACGACGATTCTGTAGTGATTATTTCTTTCCACTTGGCTTTGTCATCGTAACTGATATAACGAGTTAGTGGATGTACACTGGAATGCACCGAGCTAACATCATCTGCTTCAGAGAGTTCCGGTTCTTCTAAAACCCTTATCAGTACACCCCAATTCCGCACTGCTTTATCTTCTGGTGGCATTTCGATAGGTTTCATGTTACCCACTAGCTGCGGGCTGGTAAGTTTCTCTTTGTTATCATAGATTTGTTGAGGCGGTTCCTTGGGTACAATTGGCAAGCTTAATTCGGAACGCTCCATTTTTGGTGTTAGAGTCATACCAGATGCGCTGGAGATATCAGAGAAATTCTCCCATCGCTGCTGTTCACGTTCAGTTGGATAATTGCGTATTTTTACATCCCAAGTCGGATCGGGAATTGGAGGTGGCAATGGTTTTGGTTTTGCCTTGTACTCAGTAACACGTCGCTTATGACTCTCAATATCTTCAATTGTCTTCTTTTCGGTAATTGTGCGCAAATAGACATCATCTACAGTATGAGATGTAACCTGTGGCTTTTTCACCACAATCGGTGGCTCTGGTGGTAGATACTCTGCTTCAAAGAAGTGGCTGCTATCGACCATTTCCCCGACCGAGTGTATATCAGGTGCCTCGGATGTCATATCTGTGACCTCACTAACTGTTGGCGCATCGGTAAAGTCTGACCAAGTCTCTGGACGACCATCAACCATTTCGTGGTGGGTGCGTGCATATACAGAGAACACTGGCTGTGGTGGTGGTGGTGGCGAAACTTCAACGGTATGTTTCGGTGCCGGGTGCAATTCAGGAACATAAGTAAACTGTGTCTGTATAGTCTCCTCTTGTGGTTGCAGGGAATTCATAGTTATTACACTCTCACGGTCCTCATGTGTCTCCATAATAGTAGATAAATTATTGCGATCTGGACGGAGTGTAGCAACACTCTCCGTGTCTGAAGTAACGGGAGAAGGAGGTGGTGGCGGCGATTTCTTAACGCGAACTTGCACGTCGAACTTCGGTGACGACGATTCCTTGATAGCTATAGGATGTCGCGGGACTGAAGTAGCTAAAGCATTGGCAGCCTGTACTTCTTGAGTGTGTCCATAATGATCGCTATAAATGCTGGAAGTCTCTTGAACAAATGCTCGATTCTCAAAGCTACCTGCTGAGCTGAATGGCAGTGATCTATGAAAAGCTCGATTAAATAAAAGCACACGATTGATAAATAATTGGACTCACCTCGTATCGATTTCTTCGATTTCAGAATGTGACTCACTAGGGTAGTCCGAAGGTATGAGCGCACCTTCACTACCCGATGAGCTATGCACAGCTGTCAGTGGCACAATAGCACGAGGTATTTTAACACCCTCGAAGGCGCTAATATTACCCATGCTACTGCCACTTAATTTGGTGATTTCCGATCCACTTCCCATTGACATCGGAAGGCGGCGAACAACAGGTATTGGGCGGCTGCGTAGGCAGTAGTATGAAACAGCCAATCCAAGTAGCAGTAAAGTCAGGAACATGATTGCGCAAATTATGAGTAGTAATTGGATACCCTTTAATGGTGGCTGTAAAACGGAGCCTGTGGCGATGGGATTCAAACTGAAAAAAAATAAATAAAAATCACAATGAAGCATACTTTTGCTTGCTGTATTTGAAAAAAAAAAAATAAATAAACTTACATAGGAGCTGGTAAAGCTGGTGGCAGTGAAGGTATAGGCGGTGGATAGCGGCACACAATGGTAATAATTTCATCTCCATCCATTTCCAGATTGGCGTGGAAGCGCACTATTATATTATTGGTAAAAACACGAGTAGGATTCTACAAATATATTTAAAAAAAAAGTGTCAGTATAAACGCATATTCTTATTAAAACGACTTGATTTATACCTGAATAGTACCACAACCTTTGAGTGGCAACTCTAATCTATAGCTTAGTGCACCTTTGCCACTCACTCGACAGGCGCTGCTGCGATCGTAATCGGCTTGGATGATACCATGGAATGGTTCATTAAATTTCATATCGACCTGAACGCATTTATGAACAAACAGTTATAAATATAATTTGTATTTACACATGTAAAGATTTTCGCTTTCACTTACTTGCATCGAACCAGCGGCGCAATTGAGGGCTGCTTTTGTACGATTTAAAAATATCAAAGGGCTAATGTCATCCAATTTGGTTACCTAAAAACCATAATAAAAGTAACATTTGAGCTTTGTTTAAATTTTAAAGTTTTTCTAGATTTTAATCGACAAAAAAAATAATGAACAATTCAACGCGCATATATGTGTTCTGTATGACCACGCATACACTCTTAGTCTCATGTAAAGTTGGCGAAAAATTTTAGCTTTAAGGGTAGAACAGTAGGCATAATTCACTGATTATAATATATATATTGTATATATATTGTATATATATATGAAAAGGATGCGATAGCTAGACTTCGGTATTTTATCATTGAGAAACTCGAATGAGTAAGATTTATTTAGGATATACTTTGCCATTTATTTCGAATCAGTTTTAAAGCATAACTTTGGTTAAATTACCACCTCCATTCGATACAAAAGCAACTCTTTTTTGCAAATTCTGCATAACATTGGCCAGCATTTCAGGCGTTATAGCAACTATTTCGGCAACTAGTTGCTCGATTGCCTTTGGGTTGCTTGCGTAAAACTTGCTTTTTAAATAGCCACAAAGAAAAAAGTCAGGTATAGTTAAATCACCATTTTTCATGAAATGAGCTTCATACGATAATCACGCATTGTTTTAACAACTGAGCGATTGTTTTCAATGTAAACCACTCCGGTTTCAGCTTGTTCTTTCGGTATATTGGCTCTTGGTTAAAATGTCACCGAATAACGTTTCAGGATCATGTACATTTTTCAAAAGCAGCTAAAAACCGACACAGTTACTCAGTGTTGAAATACCGAAGGTCTAGATGGCTCAGTTGCGCAAAGCGTTAGCTAATGCGTTGGAATGATTTTTCAATTTTGTAAGGATAACAAGGTTCTTATGTAAGTTTATTGTACGAACCTACCAAGATGCGACCTTTTATAACCTTTGATTTTTGGTCAGGGACGCTAGTATTAATTGTATTTTACTTTAATCCCAGAGTTCTAATGTAAAAGCCAATTTAAACTAGCTACTTTTAATTTCATATCTAATATAATATTTTGACATATACTCGTATGTGTTTTTCCCAAGTGAGCCTTCCATCTAAGTGTACGAGGTGTGATAATTAAGTAATGAGACTGACTCTATAAATTACTCTACAACTCTGCCATCTTCCTCAAAATGGTCCCCTTAGAAAGGTGTATAGAAATCCATTACGTTTTCCATGCTTCGTAAAATTTCTGGAACACTTCGACTGGAAAGTCTGCGAGTACCCTTCTTCACGGCCTGGATGACCTCAATCGACTCAAAATGGGTTCTTTTGACCACCGATTTTGTTATAGGGAAAAGTCACAGGGTGACATATCGTGCGAATGTTGTCGTTGTTGCAACACGGCGATCCCTTTGAGGCCAAACACTGGGACACGCTAAAGGCGGTGTGGCATAGTAGATTTGATTTACGGTTTGCCCCACGGATTAGAGCGCACACGTCCCTCTTTAAAGTCTTTATGCTCTCGAAATACCTTGGCACGACTAAGAACACTATCACCATGCTTTTTTACATTTTAGCGTACGTTTCCGAAGCTGTTTCGCCCGATTCGGCGCAAAATTTTGTCGCGACGCGTTGCTCTTGATTTTGTTTTTCCATTATGGTGACGAACACCACGAACTCACGTTTACTCAACACGACACAGCAGGCGAACTAAATAAGCTAAAGCGATGGCAAATATATCAATATATGGGAAAAGGATGCCGAGAGAAGGGAAGGTCGCAAAAATCGCGGCAATATTATCAGTCTCATTACTTAATTGTCACACCTCGTATGTCAAGACAGCAGGCGTGTGAGTATAATGTGAACGTAAAGTGTTTACACTTTCCCTTATATTATATTTAATTCTCCAGTTCGCCACCTATTATTCGGTTAGAAGTAACGATCGCGACCTTTCCATTGTTTTTCTAAGGCTTTTATATCGTCATGATATGGATATATCATCCATGTGTATAATGTATAATACCCGTCTGTGAGACAGATATGACTCAAAGACATTGAAGAACTGAATATGCAACATTTTATCAAAATTTATATGTATGCCAAACCAAATGCTGTGCTACATCAAGAAATATTGCCCAGAAAGACCCCTTTTATTCGATCGCCTTCCTAATTTCATTAATAATTCGGCTGACTTGTTCTACAATACCATGTTTTTCATGAAAACTGAAGTGTTATGCAGGTATCACTTTGTTACGATGCAGCAAAGAAGATATCTTAGACAGCGGAAATCTTTCAATTGATTAGGAAAAACTGGGCTTGTTGGTCTATAGAAGACGCCAGTATGTGGTCTTTACCTGGCTTTGGCTATCAGTGAAAACTGCACATTTCCTGATTTGGAAAGTAACATAGTCTCATAATGGCATTAAAGAGTTCATAGCCGAGTTCAGAACAGTCTTACAGCAACTCTCGACAGTTCTTTATATGACCACGCATCTCATTTCAACACGTAGTCCCATTTTGACTCTTTTTCAATGGAAAGATTAAACTTCAACGCGACTCACTTCATGCAGTAATCTTAACAATTTAAGAAAAAAATAAAAAAAATCTGTCTATTCTATACGAAGTTAAACGTCATAACCAAATATACGCATCAAATTTAAAACATTATTTTTCATCGGTTAAAAACAGATTTACGTGCGTACCTTGCCATCCAAAGTTGCCTCCTCAGGTAGTCCATTTGTCGTGTAGTTTCCGCTATCGCCTTGCTGTACGTAATTGGATTGTGCTCGAACATTGTTGAGTTGAATTGAGATACAAAACGCTAGCAGCAGAGACCAAAGCACAAAAGATCTGCCCATTTTCGCTAAGTATTTAAGTTATGCAGACACTTACAATTCCCTGGTGCTGTTGTAATGAAATTTTAGCATCTGAAAATAAATAAAATAATAAAAAATTTTATTTAATGTTTTACAACGTGACACAATATACTCGTAAATGTATAAACAAGGAGTAAGGAAATTACGTAGTTCGCAAATAAGAGAAGGATAAGTTTTGGTGGGATCGGAGACTCTGATTAATGTGTATCACCAGTTGCAAACTAATATTTCGCTGCATGTGCAAGACGTTAAATATATATATCTATATACATATATGCAAATATATAATTTGCACTTTGTAACCTCAGAAGCGCTTTCTGGTCGAGCTCCTACTAAAAATTGAGTTTTGTGTCTTGATGTTTCTTGAATAAATACACTCGGAGAGCTAGATATTCCCTTCTGAGGGGCGACGATTCCGATTCCTCCTTGAATTACATGTTATAAGAAAGTAACCGTAGTGCCCCGGTGATCGTAAGCTAATGACAATGGTTTGAAAATTTACTTCAGTTATTCCTGCATCCTCTATAACCATACTTTTCTACTTCTATACGGAGTCATATTCAGTTTTGAGTCGCTTTCGAACTGCTTAGAGGTTTTTATGAGAAACTCATATTCTCATGTTTTTATGGGTCTTTAGAACCGCACGATGAAAGTTACTTTGGGGGGGTTTAAACCCAATATTTCCGCTTCGTGGAGTGTACTAACCCAATATTTAGCAAAAAATAATAATAATAATGCTGCTTATGATGTTAATGTTTGGGAAAATCGGTATATCAACCGACCTGATTTATACATATATATATAAATTCAAAGTCCCAACCGTATTCAGGAAAAGTTTGATAATTTTGTGTATTGGTGTGGTTCGAGATTCTTGTCTGTGACTCGACGCATAGTTGCAGGCTCTGCTACTCAGTCGGCTACAGCTGCACAGAGTTTACATCTTAGAAGCTGCGTCACGCTGAGATGGTGGGGCTAAAACATATTATTAATTTATAATAATACAGCCACCCTTTCGATCTGGACAAAGTGTACGCCCATTGTTCATTTTCCTTTTCCTTTCCGAATTAGGTCATGGCTACATGCACAGCTGCAAACTACCCAGTTAAGTACACAACGGTTGGTATGATTGAAAATGTGGGCATTTTGTGGCAGCTGTGCTCTAACGCTTATCGACATGAGATATGAAATGAAGTATTGCAACTTTATAGTTTTATGTAAGTGCTAATGCATTTGTATATTGTTGTTGTTTTTAGTCATGTAGGTTTTATTTTTTATTCAAACATTTATCATAGACATTAATTTCTACAGCCTTAGCTCTATATTTTCCTTTGTTATTTTCCAGTTTATTCAGACGTTTACTATGTACGTTTCATAACTTATTGTTGGCTTGTACGTATGTACGTACGTTGAATACCAATGAATATTTTTTATTTTATGTCAGCAATTGCATTTAAAGGAGGTCAATTGACTTGTATTGTAAGGCATTTTTCTCGAAATATAAAGCTGATTAATGAAGTTTTAGGCAATGTGGCAATTGATTTATTCTTAGAAATGCTTGTCTGACCAATAAGATCAGTAAGTTTCCAGAAATTGTAAATAAAGCGAAACATTGTTAATCTTCACCAATATTTATTTTGCCGCCTTCAAAATATGCTCCTTCTGATGCGATACACATAAGCCATTTTTTTATCCAATCATCGAATCATGCCTCGTAGGTGCTAACCAGGATCGCCTTCACTTCCCTCTGCAAATTTTTCTTATTTGACCAAGTCCGGTGAATACGGTGGTTGATCTATGTTATTGAGCGAGTTTTTGGTCTTAAAATCATACACAACCACAGCTCGGTGCGATGGCGTATTGTCGTCATGAAAAATCTATGAATTGTTGGCTCACAATTCCAGCTGTTTACGACCATTTAGGATGTTTTCGCGCAAAGGTCTCAAAATGCTCAAACAATACTCTTTATTAACCGTCTGTCCCTTTGGAACGAACTCATGATGAACCAAACCCTGAATATTGAATAAACGATATTCGGAGACTTTCTGGTCTTAATGTCGAAAATTAAGCTCAATTGGTTTTAGTTTTTACGCGCTCATAAGTTAGTGTGGTACCACCATGAATTGTACTGCATGGTCCAAAAGGTCCCGAGCTTAACTCACGAGTTAAGTTGAATTGATGCGACTGCTGGTCACAACAAGCGCACTTAGGCCAACCCGCCGATTGTGTGAGGTCTTGTGTTCAACTTTTTAAAATGAACGAGCTTTACCCATAGACGACGCAATTTTTTGTATTCCCCTATTTTATGCTAATACTAACCATCAAGAGAAAGCTATTAAAGTTTCATGATATTTTATTCATAAGTTTGTGGGTGTCGTGCTAATAAGAGTGGCATACTTTTGTCATTTTCAAAACAATATGGAAGTCACAACTGATGAAACATGGGTCCATCACTTCACTTCGGAATCGATTTGGTCTTCATCTGAATGGACATTAGCTGGTGAGCATCCTCCAAACCGCAAGAAATGACTGAAAAATGTATAGACTTAGTATTTTGCGACGTTCGTGCTGAAAATACCACCAATGGTGTATTTCAAGTTTTTTTGAAGCGCTGGGAGGTCAAAATTGTAAACAAACGATCGTATATGGAAAAGTAGGAAAGGAAAGTCAATCAAAGCAATGGCAAAATTACAGAAATTGAACTTTTCTTAATGGCCCCCATATTCACCCTGTTCGTGAGAATTGACAATCGTTCCACAGAAGGGATTTTGGAAAGTCAGACCCAAACAAAAAAGAATCTTGCGAAACTTTTCAGTCGATGTGTTATTTAAGGTTTGTTTATTGAGCTGTTCTAGGTTACGCCAGGTTACTCTATTTCAACAAATTGTGTTTCAATTGTGATTATGCTTTCATTTGCTCTACTCTTTGTTTCATGAGTCTGCTCTTAGCAGAAATAGAGGAACTTACAGCATGATTTTTCGCTCTGACTTTTTTGTAGAGTAACATAGTGTAAGCAAAATAATTGTTTTAACAGGTCCATCTGCTAAGTTTTTATAAAAAAAACTGAGACTATAGCAAAGAAACGTTTAGTAAATAAAAATGAAAATACTAAAGTGGACTACCCTGAATTTACTATTTTCTCCTCATCATTAGGCCATTTTATACAAATATTGGGCATCCGTCTTATAAAATAAATAAATAATTGGGCTAACAGTTCCAATAGATACATTGAAACGATCTCCAGTATCTCGAATTGAGCAAGCTTCATGTCCCGCAAACCAAAGAAATAATGCTAAAAGCATTTTGGTACTGTACACTTTAATTTCATAAGCATTTCAAATACGTCTATCCTCGCACGAAAATGCATCATAAACTCTTCATCTGTGTACTTTGGAATTACTTCCTCGAAGTAAGTTTCGACACGATTTCTTTTATTCCTCAAAGCGGCAAGTAGAATCAAATCATCGTCCTGATCTGATTCTAGATATTCTTCCACAATTTCGGTGATAATATATTTATCCATTTTTTATTTGGCAAAAATTGTATATGTGCACAATTTCATATATCTAAAACATTTGATATTTGTCAAATGAATATTCAAACATTGAACTGTTTTGAGAATTTTTACCTAGAAAGTGTTTCATGAGACTTCTGCTCCGAGTTGCTCTAACTTGCTCTTCAGTTTTTTGACAGCTGCTAGATTCTACTCTAACTTACTCTGCTCTACTCTGTTTTCAGTCTCAATAAACAAACAAAAAAAAGGTAGTTCACTCAGAAATTTTTTAAAAACCAACTAACATAAATAGATTTTTCGACTTTTGCTTTATTTTTGTGTTACCAAATTTTTTTTGAGTCTGTTCTATTCAGATATAAAGCGAACAACTCAAAGTATGATTTCCTGATCTGACTTTTTTGGTAGAGCAATTTGGAGCAAGCTATAAGTTTTTTTTTTTGACAGAGTTGATGAGAAAACGGAAGAGGCCAAAATACAAGAATAAATGTTCACGGGGCACAGCAAACAATTCAAATACAAGTGATAATAATATTTATCCATTTTATTAACAAATGAAGATATGAAAAAAATGTCAACATTCGCATTAGACAATTGTTGCCCGAAAAATGTTTCATGAGCTTTTTTGATCCGAGTTGCTTTTACTTGCTCCACTGTTTTTTGGTAACTGCTCTGATTTGCTGGAACTTGAGCTGATCTACTCTATTTTCAAAATAAAATTCAAAACCTTTCAATGAAAACAAAAAAAATAAAGAAATATAAAATTGTCAATCTATGAGCTTAATTACGGTTAACTCAAAAATCTTCGAAAAACTTTTATTAAAAATATTGTATTACCGATTTTAGAATCGAAGCTGACTATACCATGCCACCAATTCGGGTTTAGAGAAAAACACAGCGTTTGAAAACAAGAAATATTGCACGGCAGTGTTCCTTGAAGTATAAGTAGAGTGGCTAACAACTTGGAGAATTAAAATCAGAGTCTAAGTGTAAACAAGTTACATTTACCCTAAAAAAGACACATGTCCTTCAATCTCTATAAATGAAACTACACTACCTCACAAAGAATTCGTTACCTACCTGGGAGTTACATTAGATAAAAGACTCATCTGGAAAAACCACATAGACCAAAAAATTACTCAAACCAAATTGAAAATTGCGAACTTGCATTGGATTGTAGGCCCTAAGTCCAAACTAAGTCTAGAAAACAAAGTTTTACTTTTTAATGTGCTTATAAAGCCGTCTTGGACGTACGAGATCCGAATTTGGGGCTCCACCCAAACTTTCTAGCTAAAAAATTATTCCAGAAGAACTACCCTAAGCGATTAAAGAGAAAAGATTTACGTTTGAACTGTGACTAAGGGCTCTACCGCATCCAATTATTCTACATCGGAGTTGTGGTCTGCATATATCCTTCATGATTCCTTCAAATTATCCTTTATGATATATCTTATGTTAAATTTTAAGCATGAGTGTTTGGTATCCCTAATGATATCTATATAAAAAAACATTCTTTGATAAATCTAAGTTATATTCGTAATTT